TTAAAACATTGCTGATAGCCATCTCATTGAATCCCGAGACCTTGACCTCATCGATATATCGCGAAATTGAATGATGCGAACAACACGACATTCCCGGCATCCGGTTGGAGTATAAATTCAGTATTACTTTGCCATTGGGCAACGTAATATTACAATATTATGATGAAATAGTGCAGTTTTTATGAAAAATCCAGGATCCATGAAATGACGGAAATAGAATGATATTTGAGAAGTGAAGAGATAACTAGGGTTTACAAAGCAGAAGTGAATTGTAATGAAGGAGAGAGAGAGAGGGGAGAGGAAAAAAGAAGAGTTTTAGTGAAGTAGAGGGATTAGAGATTGATGGAATTGATTGCATAACATGGATTTTACATTGTAGCAGTGATAGAGAGTGATGCTTTGGTAGAATGATAATGATGGGAATAGTAGATAATGACGTGGTAATAAGTGTGAAATTTGTTAATTTCTCATATCTATTAAATTTCATAAAATGTATTAATGAAATTTGACGAAATGATAGTTTAACGGAATTTTTGCTTATTTCCGGAATTAATCCGGGATTCTGGAATTTCTCGTGTCGAACCGGAATTTCAGCTTATTCGATACATTAATGTATTCGGCAACTCAATTACTAGTGCTCAGTTGATATTACTTCGTATGTAAGGCAATATTTTCAATTTTAACGAGTTTTCAAACTTCTTTTCTTTTTTTTTTTTTTACTGGAATATTATCGGAAAAAAGAGAATAAACGGAATGTATTCAGATTATTTAAGTAAGTATAACGTATTGTTCTTATGTTATTACATTACACTTACGTCATCCCTAATTTATATAATGTAATGAATCGTCAGAAATTCTATCGGACAGTTCTGGTGCACCTTTTTCAAATTGACAAATTCCAATTTAAATTCAAATTGACAAATTCCAATTTATGAATTCCAATTTCGTCTTTTTTTTTGTAAGATTTGAGAGCAGCTTGCAATTATGATTGATAAGTGTTCTTGTGTTATATATTGTCGAAAAAAAACTAATTTGAATTGAACTGAGCTATTGAGTTATGGATTTTTTGGTTATTAGGGAGCCATATGGAATTGAAATTAATTAGCTCATCGTTGAAATGATACGAAATTGAATTGAGTCAGAATTGTTCTGGATTTAACTGGATAGAAATTAATAAGAATTTATTTGGTTATTTGATTATAGTTTAGTTGAATTAACTTGGACCAAATTAAGTAAAGTTGTGATTAACTGAGAATAATTGATTCAAACTTGATTATATTAAATTGATTATTTCATCGTAATTTACTCTTTCTCACTCTTAGGAGAAATAACACGTAATGTTAATCATTTTATTGCAGATTGTACTGTTTTATCAAACAAAATGTTTCGGATCAATGAATGAATGAATGAACTGCTGTAACTGGCCTTAGCAATGTTAGCTCAAGATTTCCTGAAGAAGGATGATCGTGGCTTTCTATCAACTTCTTCCTCCAAGTAAGTTAATTCAATTTAAATCTTAGAATAAGAAAGGCGACGGTCATTTTTTCTGATGATGCTTTTTGACTTTTCTTTTGAAAGTTCATCTTTGCTTGGATTTCTTTCTGATTTTTTTTTTATTTACTCGCATTGATTTAGTTGGTTTTGACTACTTTTGATTTTAATCGACTGTTTTTTTTCCAAGCGATTTAAATCAAGGCAAGTAATTAGCATTGTAGTAGACAGTGGTTAATAGTAGAAAATATGTTCAGATTTTACCAAATAAAGCTGTTTGAAAACGCTTGCTAGAAGTAGTAGGCTGCTAAGATCCGATTTCTATATCTGACAAAATAATAATCAAGCATTAAATATTGCTAATTTAATTTATCAAATTAGGTGACTTTTGTTCAAAAGTATCAGTTTTTTGGTAGTAATTTGTATGTAATGATAAAAGATTTTTTTTTCTTCCATTTTTTTACCTGATGACAGTGATAATATTTTGATGTACTGGATCTGTTGCAGGTCAGCATTTTACTTCGGTCTGTTAGTAATTGCCAAATTTCTCCGCTGTATTGGAATATTTATTATTGACATATTAGCTAAGCAAGTTCATGTCGTTGGACTACTTTGGCTTTTCAAACTGGTGTAAGTTACTTATTGTTTATTATAAAAGGATGACGCTTTACTTGGCTTTGCTTCCCTTTTCTCCGGGGAATTTCTCCGAGAAATCTTTTGTTTGATAGTAGTAGCACTAAAGAATCAAATTTAGTGATTCTTAGCTAAGTTGCTTAACAGGAATAGTGGGTAATGCAAGTTATTCATTTTTTTTTGTTGTTTTGACATGATCTTTTGAGTTGTGTGGGAAATTCCGTTTCTTCGAAACAATAATCCATTTCCATGTTGCCCCCGTATTGTGCAAAACGTCCTTCTGGTCGTTTCGCCAAACATTTTATAAAAGAATTTCTCAAGTAAAAATTTTAATTTCTCATTTTCATTAACTGTATGAGCTAAATTTTAGAGGTTGACAGATAGAAATGACATGTTACTATGAGCAGATTACTTGTTTGATTTATATTTACATCAAAATTAAAAATCATTCTAGTGCTTCGTGTATTCTTATACCGTTTCAAAAACCATTCAATCATGGAAAGTCACTGAAAAGGGTTTTGGTAAGTATCACTGTAAAATTTAACATTCAACTCAACCGTAATCCAAATATGCCTATATTTTGCTTGCATAGACAGTTTAACAGTCATAAATGCTTCACATTTGTATCGATCTAAAGCAGTGAATATATGAAGTTATGAAAACTGATGTTCTAACTGCAGGGCATCAGAATTGTGCAGCTAGCGGTATGGAATTGCTTAATCGAAATCACGTGGTTCTATGGTATTACTTTTTGTGGACCTTTGAGGTATTGTAATTTTCCACCAGAAATTTTAACATTTTTTTAGCGTTTAGTAGTACCTATGAGGATTATAAATGGAAGTGAGAAATTAAATTTTAATATATGAAGTGGTATTTTTTTAATATATGAAAAATTAAGAAAAGAATGTAACTTTCGCGAAATTCAAAGTCTTTTCTTAACCTCTTTAACCAAAAACGCTATGGATACTGAATTTTAATTTTGGGCGCATGTAGGTAAATGCAAAAACAAAACAAATGTCATTGATTTATATATATATATATATATATATATATATGTATATATGTATATATATATGTATATATATACATATATACATGTATATATGTACACATATATACATATATGCATGTGTATATATAACTAAATATATTTGTATGTATTTATATACTTTATATTGTATATATTTATATAATTCCAGATCCATATTGGTATTCGAGCAAAGTCCATCGGTTATAATGGTTGCTTTGCTAACTTTATTGAAAGGAAGCAATTCATCATCGAAGACTCGCGGAGTGATTGCGCTGTTATTGGGTTATCTTTCCTTAGTTTTGATGGACAGCGATGCTACTGTGGAATCAAATCACAGTATATCTTATTTCATTACAAAAATCTGTAATTTTAATTTTGCACTTAACTGAACGATTTTTGCTTTTAATTGGTGCGAGCAGAATCCTATTAAATTGGTTTATGTTTGTTATCTGTAAACTGATAGGAAGGGAACTTATATGTTAACTTGATTATTTCGTTGCTGAGATTTTAGCAAACATGGCAAATTTTACATTTAATACATTATTCAAATAAATGAATGACCTCTCTTAAATTATCAGTTATTATTTCAGGGTCATCACATAGTCATCAAAGCGTTCTGAATCATTTGTTTTATCATTTTATGCATAATTCAGGAGTTTCGGACCATAAAGTAAGTTTTACAATTCGTAATGTTTTTATTTTCTGTACAAATTGTAATTCTCCATTAATTGTCAAAGCCAAACAAAGAGATTTCTGATAAATACTCCATTCTGATATAATTATGTTTAATAGGTCCAGTGATAAGATTCATGACGATTAGAATTCTTGGATGGTGAAGTAATAGTTGATGTTTGTTTAAAATTTATGGATTCAGTTTTTCTTTCATCTCGCCTAACATTTTTTTTTTTTACCTTGCTCCCATCATTACATTCAATTTGCATTTCTCTTGACAAATTTCCGGAATGGAAATTGAATTTCTGCCAATATTGTACTGAAATTACTTGAGGGAGGTATCATTTTGTTGGTCTTTGCGGTCTTGATAAAAATGGCATACGATTCATCATTCCGCCATCTAGCGGTTGAAATTGGTGGTCCAAAAAGGCTCTACTCATTGGTGACACTTTTCTCTGCGATATTTTTAGCACCAGTGGCAATTCTTGCTTTCGCCATGGGCGAAGTCAGTTCTTTTATTATCACATTTTAAGTATATGCTTAAATCTGTAATTTAGATATTCCAACTAGTACCAAAAGGTTTTGCTTGCGAATAATAAATGTTGATTTAAATGACAATTCACTTCTTTACTTAACTTGAACTATCAGTTGTTTATGCAACGAAGCCATGATTTTAAATAAATTGCAGGCATATATTACTTCTTTTGTCGACTTTCTTCTTTTATTGTTTATCGGATCGACGTTCGTTATGGTTTTCGATTTCTACACGGAGTCATTTTGTTTTCAGGTTCTTAGTTTTTTCCTTGAATTTTCAAAAATTCTACTATTAATTTGTCATTGGAATAGAGAATATCTTACAGCAACTGCGTTGTCATATATTCCTTAATGAGATAACTATTTGGAAGAGCTGTTTTTGTGTTCTTCTGCTGAAAGGAAATAATTAGGTCCGGTTTATTCAAAATCTCATTTTTATTTTTTAAATGGTAATTATTTCAGCATGTAGCTGATCCGGTGTTATCATCAGCACGATGGAGTCCAATGATAATGTTTGTTTGTGCCTTTATGTTCGCTTCAGCTTGGTACACGGGTGAAAGTCATTATGCACTTGACGCTCACGTTATTTCAGGCGGAGTATTGTTGACGCTGCTTTGTTTCATTATTGGTCTCTTGTTTGATTGTATATCTAATTAATATTGATTATATATCTAATTAGTATTCCATGAAGTTTAGTACAAAAGTTTTATCTCACTTTGGTGAGGAAGAGGTGAAGGCTAGGCTTATTAAAGCCTGGAAAAGAGGTGAAGGTTAAGCTTGTTAAAGTCTAGCTTCACCTCTTTCCACAAATAAAAAACTTTGAACAAGCTAGAACGGTTGGCTGGTAGAAATCAGGCGATCCGAATCAGCGACAATCTGATCAGAGATCAGATCAAGTAAAATATCCAGTATTTCGACCCCTTCCAGGCTCATTTATGGAACTATCTTACATGGAGTTGTGATCCTAGTGGGATATATCAAACACTGACTTAAATGATCAGATTGTAATATTCTGTATTTCATTTTTCCTTCTTTTTAAATCGTTGGTTTTTTTTTTTTTTTTAAAGAAGTTGTTTGCTTAAATTTTACACAATTATACAGTAAATTTTACCGAAAAATTGATTTCAGCTTGTTTCTCCTTAACATCCTCTGCTAATCCACGTTCCAGAGGTGGATATTATGTTGGGTTATCGGATAGTGGAATACCACTATATACTTATGGTGAAGCATTTTTGCAAAAAACTTCAAGGTTTGTGATATTTTATCTGTTCATCTACCAAAAATATTGTTAGAATCGCTTAGCTTTCAACCATTATGTTCTTGATTAGATGCTTTCTGAACTTATAAACCCTTGATCTTCTCGTTTATTCTATCATATTTCATAACATACTTTCCGACTCACACATTGATACTGCATACCTTATCCTAATTAGTGTTTTGAAGATAACGTAATCTTTTTTGTCATTCATAGAGGGTAATCCTATTATAGCTTCAACAAACTTATTTGTTGCATATTTTTCTGCATTGCATTTATTAATTGCTTTGTTATTTTTTTTTTAAGATCAATAGTACTGTTGTTCAAAGAAACTCTAGCGGAAATATTGATGAACACTGATTCGCGTAGAATTTTTTGGTTCCTCTGTGCTAATTTGGTATCTCTCCTTTGCTTTTTCAACTTTTCTATTGTATTTTAATTCACAGTGAATTTTTTGATATTTCACATTATTCGATTGTTTTATATTGAATCTGAAAATTTATAGTCGTTTTGTGGAATTGAATTTTTGTACGGCTTCTGGACGAATAGCCTTGGATTAATATCCGATGGTTTTCATATGCTTTTCGATTGTTCTGCACTTGTAAGTTTTTACTTCTATGTGCGGTTTCATTTTAAGACAAACAAAAGTTCTTGTAATCTGATGCTATCACATTCTTTCAGGTAATGGGTCTTGTTGCTTCTGTGATGTCACGCTGGCCTTCTTCAAAATATTATTCTTATGGATACGGGAGAGTTGAAGTACTATCAGGTAACTGATTATGTAGTTATTTATCGCACCGAAAATCAATTGTCGATTTTTATTGGTCCTGCAAATCACACCTTTTTGAGGTTAATCTAGTCGAGAAACTATTTTGAAGTTAAAGTGTTACTCAAGTCATATTTAAGGCTTTCTTTATATTACTGTTCCAGGGTTTATAAACGCTTTGTTCCTCATTGTTATTGCTTTTTTTATATTTCTGGAAGCGCTGGAACGATTGTACGATCCACCAGATATCAGTACTGATAAACTAATGGTATGATTCCAGTTATAATTCTTTTGTTGAATGCTTTATCATAAATTGGTAATGGAAAGGATTTTTGCTAGTTTGACATTTGGAACCAGCTAATTGGCTTTCTCCATTTCCTCGACCACAAAGTGGAGCTGTATGTTTATACAAGATTAACTCCAGTTCTTTCGCGACGCAGGACTACATTTTCAAAATATTATACTTATTGAGTTGGATCTGCTGGGTATCGAGTCACTTTGTTGTTTGTGCTATCAAGAGAGGAAGGATACTTGATAAAGTATCGTACTGCATCATTGTAAAATTAAATTCTGTTTCCAGTCGGAATGATGAAAAAAATTAGTAGTTTTTGCTATAGCCCCTGGCTTTATTCCAGTATTAACATGATCATCTTCCAGATATGGCTACATATTGGAGAGGTTAATATGATGATAACCGGTCAAATTGTTTAATTCAATTTATTTTTGAAATCGGACTAAACTGTCGCAATTCTTAGTTTATATTTGATTTAGATAGTAGCAGTTGCTGGTTTAATAATAAATATATTTGGTATGTTCGCATTTCACGGTGCAACACATACACATTCTCATGGTGATGATGGCGGTCATTCGCATAACGATGCCTCGCATTCACATTCGCATTCACATTCACATTCACATTCTCATTCTCATTCGCATTCACATGGAGAAGCAAATGCTAATATGCAAGGTTCACCTTTTTGGTATTTTAGAATATAAGAGATCTGGAAATATTGCTGGGTAAATGAGATAAATGAGATATTTGGTCATTTGGGGATTTAATCTGATTTTGAGTGATAGACGAAAGCGGATTTCTACAGTTGAAATGGCTCTATATAACCAATAATATGTTTTTAATAGATATTTAACTTTGTAAAAGGTCTACCAGTTAGATGGTGAGGCCGATGTATACGGTACCAATAATACAATTTTTCACTGTAGATGACGATGCTAATTAGCATCTCCTCTTTTTTCATGCAGATGACATAGCAGTTGGAATATTGCTATTGCAAAGTTTATTAGTTTGGCAGTAATGCTAAAAGGAAGATTATAGAGTACATGAAATACAACTTTGCAACGATTTTTTTCTTTCCTGGCTGATTATCGTTTAAGTTAAAGTAGCAAACGTTTGATTCTTTACAGGTGTTTTTCTACACGTCCTTGCTGATACACTTGGTTCAGTGTTTGTGATAATCAGTACTCTTATGATTCAATATTTTGGTTGGAAATGGGTCGATCCATTATGTTCATTAATTTTATCGATGCTTATTCTTAGTTCAGTAACACCATTGCTGAAACAATCGATGGCTACGTTGATGCAAAACATGCCACCCCAAACAAAAGAAGAGTTTGAACACATTTTACATGAGGTTTCATTTATTTTTTTCTCAATTTTAAAAATTTTAAATTTAGAAGTTTAGGAAAAGTGATTCGAGTATCGAAGGTTACCATTTTCGACATAATCAATTTTTTAGAATTGTAATATTTCATTTTAGAAGTAAATTAATTTTTCTGTAGACAGTAATAATATGTTCGCTTATTCATGAAAAGTAGCGTTTGACATCTAGTCGTTTTTACAAAAATCGGCGTATTATACATATGCTAAATCTCAACATTTCTATTTCTACTTTTTATAGATTTTAAACATCGAGGGTGTGAAATCCTATTCTAATATTCATTTATGGCAACTCAAATCTGTTTTCAATGTGGCATCTCTGCATGTTCAAGTGAATGATGATGCAAATGATCAAATTATACGGTTAAAAGTTTTGAAAATTTTAAAATCGATCAATATCACGCAAGCATCAGTTCAGGTAAATAATTTTTATATTTATTTGGTACCCTTTGTCGTATTTCCATTCAATTCCACTTTCAAAACACTGTAATATTTCGAAAAATTTTTTGCGAAATTTTTTTAATATATTTAGTTAAGACCACCTTTTTTTCAAAATCGGCGAGTAAATTGAAATAGTTTTTTTTACCAGAATAATTTATTGTTAAATTTTTTTTTTTTGATGTACTACGTCAGGTATCCTTGTAGTTCTAATCATGTAATTTAAATTCATTTCACCCTCTCCCCTAGTTTCCAGATTCATAAATTTGTTTTAGATTGAAAAAGAAAGTTTTTTCCGCCAGATGTCTGCTCTTTGTCCATCGTATAAAATTCCACAGCGCGTAACAAAAGGTATTTCAATTGGTCACACTTCTGCTTCCACTGATTGCTCTCATCACAGTGAAAAATGTGATGGATCACATAGTGCAGCACAAGTTATGGTTAATTCTAAGAAATTATCCTTAATAAAATCTTTGTGTGAAATGGAAATTTTTATTCCATAATTTCTTTTTTTTACTGTAAGGCTTTTCTAATTTTCTTATAGCTATTTAATTAGTTAGGTTGAAGAAAATTTTTTGAAAGAAATTGTTTTAGCAAAAATCAGTTGAAATAAATCTGCTTGATCTCTAGGTATATCATGGGTTTGATCGCACGATTATGTGAAAACTTTTACCCGAAAATCTATACGATAGTTCTAGAAAGTCTTGAAAATCTTCAAGAGTTGAAAAAATGCAATTGGAATTTTGGAATTTACAATTTAAATTTAAAACATTTTAAAATATACTTCCAGAACCTTAGTTATGGTGCAAATGAAATTTCAGGATGGAACAGCAATGAAGGGCTATCTGCAGCATGGAAATAGTAGCCACTTTTGCTCTGAAGCATAATTTCAACAAAATTATCAGTTTCCATTCATGCAAAGAAGCATGAATTTATTAGCTTTTATGGACGATTTATTACTATCAATGATGGCACATGCAATATTTTATCATTCATTTTAATTTGGTATTCTTTTCTTTTTTTTTATTTTAACTTGCACTATGAATTGAAGTTATAAAAGGTGATATTCACGATTCATCAGTTATTTATTTTATTTTTACAATTTCTTTCCGAATAATCGTGTTATGATGATCGTTTGTTTTATCGTTTTCGTTCATATATGTTTTTCCATTTCCATCTGTTTTTGTCTAATTTCATTTAAAATTTGAAACCCAGAGACAGATCTGATCGAAATTGATTTCCATGAGAAGTAAACCGATTAATTCCTAGCAGTCTTATCGTTTTTCTAGCAGTTAGGGGAAAAAGTCTTTAGATAGGTTGATTTTATTTATAAGAAAAAAAGGAAAAATTTTAATATATTCATGAAGATAAAAATAAATGCAGATGGCAGTAAGCATACTACTAGTAATATGTTGGCTGTTGTTTCATGATGATGATGGCATTGATGAATAATGTCATTTGAAATATCAATTGTATGTTTCACTGCAAACTTCAATGTTCAATCAGCTGTGCCAATTTTAGCAATATATGAAATACATTGGATTTCATATCACCAATACATCGTAAATATACGTTTTTTAATTTCTTATCTTGTTATTTGTTATTTTCATGTTATTTTCATGAAATTTTATGCTTCTTTTCTGTATGAAGATGTGAAATTGTTTAGAGAAGGCTTAGCATGTTTTCTCGGTGAATAGTTCAACATATCTGTTATTGGTATTTCTCGGATTTATCTGAGATAAAATAAATATCATAAACCGGTCAAACTTTTGCTTGCATATGCTTTTTGTTTTCTTTTTTTCTTGTTTTTTATTCAGGTTCTTTCATTGTTTTCCTTTTTTTTGACATATATTTTTGTTGATAAGCTAATAATTAATAGACTACTCATAGTAAACTTCTATGTAAAAAGAAAAAACTTTATCGAACATTCTATACATATCATGTATGATTATTTGTGATATAAAATAATCGATAATGATTTTGCAGTTAGGCAAATATTTTATTTAAAATTAATTGACAACAATAAAAAACATGACAAAAGACATGGTGTTAATCATTTTAGTTGTTTGAAATAATTTTTTAGAAAAGTTTAAATTTAGTTCAAAGAATTTCGAAATTTTTTTCTTTTTCAACGGATGTTGAGATCATTGCAATAACATTGATAAATATATCTTTTTAACTTTTATCAAAATAAGCATAATAAATGAAATAAAATATACATGTAACTAGGAATGCAATTGGTAGTATAATTCGAAAAATATAATCAACAATTTTTATCAAAGTTGGTGGTTGACGTTCTGGTAAATGAGCATAATAAGGCATTTCATTGAGCCATTGTGTTTTCTCGTTACATTCATCTCCAAAATTCTACAAAAAGAGAAGAAAAACAGAACCTCTGAAATATGTAAGTTCCAATTCTCTATTATTATTATTATTAGTATTATTATTATTATTATTATTATTATTATTATTATTATTATTATTATTATTATTATTATTATTATTATTATTATTATTATTATTATTATTATTATTATTATTATTATTATTATTATTATTATTATTATTATTATTATTATTATTATTATTATTATTATTATTATTATTATTATTATTATTATTATTATTATTATTATTATTATTATTATTATTATTATTATTATTATTATTATTATTATTATTATTATTATTATTATTATTATTATTAT